GGTATAGGAGATTTCTGCTGCCTTAAAAGGGGTGACAAATCTCATATCCAAGGGCTTACAAAACATCACTGATCTCCACCAAATTGAGCCCGGGAATAATGTGATTCAGCTACAGGAGATGGGACAGGGAACTCTATACAAAACTCCACCTTCTCAATATTTTCAGCCCCAAACCGTGCGATAGCTCAACACGGCAACTCTACACCCACCACAACACAGTGTCCCGCAACAGCTGTGTCTGGCCTACTCACTTGGAAGTGGAACAGTCTTTACTGGGACCACTCCAGGGATTTGAAACTTTGATTGAAAACTAAAAGCATCTGAACCATGAAGCAGAGACTTGAGAATACTGATTACACATTTGCTGAAACCTACAGGATGCACCAACCAGATAGAAGCAATAGGCAATATCTGGACGACAGACTGTAATTGAACAAGTGTGTGCGCGTCCTGGGGAGGTGCCAGGCGGTGTGTAGTTTAACAAAGAGTCATCTAGGCTCGAAACATTAGCTTGCTCTCTCTCTCTCAATAGATGCTGCCCGATTCGCTGCGGTCTCCAGCATTTTGTTTTGTTTTCAGTACAGATTCCAGCATCTGCAGTAATTTGCTCCTACATCGAATGCAAGGATTGGAACGATTGCCAACCCTTGTCAATTCTCACATCACCCGGGCCAGTTCAACCTTTCATTGGTTTCATGTTGCAAATTTATGAACTCAGCAGCAAGATAAGTTTTAACTGCGAATTTGATAATTAGAAGCCAACGTCGATTGTCATTGGAATCTTGCATTTGCAGTACAATAGGTAAACAAAACTTAGAAAACAAATCGGAAAGGTGACAAGTTAGAGGTCCTGGGATTTTAAGTCGAGTTTAGAAAAGGTTCCTGCAACTAAAAACTAAGGCTAGCTCTTGAAGCTGCTTTGTTGTTGAAATAAATAACGACAGATGTAGCAGCTCTGAGGTAACAGACAGATATGCAGAACGTGTTATGTGAGGTCAGTGTTATTCACGAACTGTGACTGGGCACAGAGAGGGGATAATCAAAGAACAAGAATAAAAGATCCTCAAGAAAAGTCTGCAGTGGTGAGCAACCAGAATCAGAAGATGAAGTCCCAAGAGAGGGAAAAAGCTTGTGAAGACGGACGCTGCAAGCTCTAGCAGATGTCCTCCGAGTGCTCTACTGTCCAGTTATTGATACAACCTGTATTACCCACGTTGAACTATAAAGCGCCGTGAGTGTATTGCTATAGTTTGCTTGACACTTTGTCTCAACAAAGCTGATAATTGATTCACAAAACAGCTCTGCTGCCAAGTCTGCTCCTGCCTGAAATTAGGTGTAAACCACACAAAATCAGAGAATGCTGAATGTCAATCCAAGCTGGAAGCTGAACTCCACTTCCTTACCACCGACTCCATCCCTCTCCCTGGTAACTGTCTGAAGCTGAACCAGGCTGTTCACAGCCTTAGAGAAATATTTTACCCCAAATTGAGCTTCCAACCACGTATATCCCATCATCACAAAGACGACATATATTTCAACCTCAGTACATCTGCTGCTGAAACTCTCATCCACTCCTTTATATTATGGAGTAGACCAGACCCCCTCGAAATATTTTAAGGTAGCCTAGACCCTAACATCTTTTTAACTTATTTTAAAGGCATCTTCAAAAAGACACATATATTTCAACCTAGTAAAATCTTTGTTTATCTGCTGCTGAAACCCTCATCCATTCCTTTGTGCTATGGACAGACCAGACCCCCTTGAAATATTTTAAGAAGCTGCCCTGGACACTAACTTTTTCAACTTCCTGAACTTTCTCTTTTATAATGCATCATCCCTTATGTATCCGAATGGAACTGAGCAACAAAACTCTATCCATCACCATTAAGAAATCAAACAGAACCTCTTTGCTCTTGTCTGCTGCCACTAATAAAAAGCCTGTGATATTACATATTGTATTAAGTACTCTCTTAATCCATCTTCCTACACAAGTACTTATGCACATATATACCCAGGTTACTCTGTTCCTGCATGCCATTTGGAGTTGTGCACTTTATTTTATATTGTTTCTGAATATTCGTCAAATCAAAATATGTGACCTGCTATTTCTCCACACTGAACTTCATCCACCTCTGATCCACACGTTCCACCAACTTAGCCATATCTTTAAGAATTGCACATTTCACTTGAATGTCGAAGGAAGGTAAGGGGTTAGGGGTGGCATCCTGGGAGAATTATACAAAATTAATAGGCATGGATAGAATGGATCATTGGAATCCTCTCTCAGGGTAGAAATGTCAACTACTAGGGGACCTAAGTTTAAGGTAACAGGGAGTATGTTTAAAGAAGATGTGAGGGGCAAGTTTTTAAACACAGAAGATGATAAGTGCATGCAATGCACTGCCAAAGGAAGTGTTGGAGGTGGATACTATTGTAATGGAGGCATCTTAACAGATTTATGAATAGGCAGAAAATAGAGGGAGACAGACTGTGTAGAGGCAAAATGTTTCAGTTCAAAAATGCATTGTGTGTTGTTGCAATCTGGGTGAGTTGAAGGGCCTGTTGCTGTGCTGTATTGTTCTTTGTTCTGATATCCTCCTCACAACTTACTCTGCTTCCAAATCCCAAATCATAGACATTTCAAAATTGTCCCCGTTCCCCAATGTTTAGAGTCTCAACACTGGTTCCTAGGAACTCCACTAGATTCATACTACTATCCTGAAAATTGTCCATGAGCTGCTGTCATGTTTCCTTCACTAATTTTGTACCTATATTGTTACTAGTTATTTTCCCATTTAAACTTGCCTCAAGAGTCAACTGTATGATATTGGATCACATACCTTCTGGAAGTCTGTTACATATTCAACATAAAACAAAAAGCTGATCACCGATGGCAAGTTAGCTGACATGATGCTTCCTGGAGGAATTTATGCTACTTCTCATGACCTATGCCAAGCAACTAGGCTTGTTTTTAATTGTTGGACATCCTTAAAACGTTTTAACAAATGAGTAACCTTTGCAATTTTCCTGTACTGTGGCTTGATAGTTTCCAAATTCAACAGGTTTTTCTTGAGTACAGACTTTGTAAGCAGACTTGGAGAACACCAGTGAACACGTCTAACACTTCCAATTAGTTCACCATCTCAAACCTGATTAGTTTATCTTTGCAGTAGGTCTGCTGAATGACACAGGATTATTGCAGCTCCACGTGCCTCACATTCAAAGCAAATTTCAAAAATTAACAACATAGACAGGACTGGCAAGCTTGGAAGTGGATAATATGCACTGAGCACATTCATTTAATTAGTATCTGGGAGAATAAGGAAGATTACATGCTCATGTCTCTTTACCTTATCATCTACAACCCCATATTATAATGCCTTATGGTGTGTATTCCTCCCTCATCTTTTCTAGGTAAACATTGAAATTATGGAATCCCTATGGTGTGGAGGTGGCCATTCAGCCCATCAAGTCCATGCTGATGATCTGAAGAGAATCCCACCCAGAGCTACACCCCTAGCCTATCCCCGTGTCCCTGCATTTCGCACGGCTAATCCAACTAGCCTACACATCCCTGGACACGATGGGCTATTTAGTATGGTCAATCTAAAGTGCACATCTTTGGACTGTGGGAGGAAACCAGAGCACCCGGATGTAACCCACACGAACACAGGGACAATGTACAAACTCCACACAGTTACCCAAGTGTGGAATCGAACCCAGGTCCCTAGCACTATGAGACAGCATGCTGCGTACTTCTGAAAACTAACATGGTGCTTTTGGACACTGTCGCCTTCCTCGCTGCATGGAGATGAGGAATAGGAGTGACCAAGGATACGTCCTTGGGGGACAGCAAGTACAAGGACTTTGGAGAGGAAAGGGAGGGTGGAGATGGGATGGGGTTCGGAATACTGGTGGGTTCAAGAATACTTTTTGAGAATGAGTGATGACTATGGGGTTAAGTATGAGACAAACATAATCAGCAGAGAAGGAGAATTGTTACCAATATGAACAAACATGAGGAAGTTTGGTGATCAATAATTCAGTGAGAACAGGGTCATGGAGAAAGAGGAAAGTTACGTGGAGAAGGCGAACACTAGGGACCAGATGCGGTCATAGGAGAGAACCCGGAGAAAGGGGAGTGCAGGTTTACAGCTGGGAGAACATTTAGAGCCGGTGGCTAGTGGAAGGAAGGAAGGAAGCAACAGAGGCAACTGATCAGGTTGTATCAATATTCGTGACGAAGAAGCTTCATGTGCTCCTTGTATTTGTTGTTGGTGAGGATGGAGGAGACAGGGGAAAGGGAGAGCTGCTCAAAAGGAACTAATTTGTCTAAGTGACATTAAAAAGATTCCTCAATCTGTTTAGCATAACACTGATTTATTTCATTTTTAATCAGAATATTAATACCCCACAACTGGGCCAGAGTTTTGAATGTCAGCCTGACAAACATTGTTGAGTCCTGGATGTGATCAACACCAAAATCCAGTCACTACAGTTAATTACAAATGCACTGGTACATCAACAAGCTGGATGATTTAGCTAATCCCTTCCCAAATTTGGAGCAGGAGAACGGCCTCTCCACATTCGCTGGTGTACAGTGAACTGGAATAATTGCCCGAACCCTGTTCAACAGTGACAGCAGCTGAACAGTCTCTCAGTGAGAACACGATCGCAGGTCAGGTGCCAGGAACTTTGAACTCATTTCTCAGTCTGTCATCGGTGCAACCTCACTGGTGTTCCAACAGGCTGAGCAAAACCCTTCTCATACTCGAGGGCCAGTGAATGGCCTCTCATCAATGTGAACTCACTGGTGTAAGCAATTTGGATGATGGAGTGAAACTTCTCCCACACTCGGAGCAGATAAATAGCTGCTGCTCAGTGTGAAGTCGTTGGTGTACGGAGAACTGGGATGATTGTTTCAACTCAGGCTCACAATGAGAGCATCTAAAGGGTCTCTCGTCAGTGTGAGCACATTGATGGGACATAATGTCCCGGGCACATTTAAAGCTCTTCTCACAGTCTGGACATTTAAAAGGTCTCTCCGTGGTGTGAACTCGTTGGTGTTCCAGTAGGTTGGATGCCCGACGGAATCCTTTCCCACACACTGAACAGGTGAATGGCCTCTCTCCAGTGTGAACTCGTTGGTGTACAGTGAGAGTATATGATTGCGTGAACCTAGCTCCACATTGAGAGCACATGAACGGTTTCTCATCAGAGTGAATACGTTGATGACGGATCAGCCCTGCAGAACTTTTAAAACTCTTTCCACAGTCTGTGCATTGAAAAGGCCTCTCATCAGTATGAACCAGCTGATGTGACTGGAGATTGGATAACTGAGTGAATCCCTTCCCACACTTGGAACAGGTGAATAACCCGTCCCCAGTGTGAATTCGCTGGTGAACAGTGAGTTGAAACGATCGCTTGAACATCATCCCACAGTCAGAACATCTGAACGGCCTCTCATCAGAGTGAACACGTTGATGGGACTTCAGCTTCCATGAATTTTTATAGCCCTTCCCACATTCTGGACATTTAAAAGGTTTCTCATCAGTGTGAACTTGTTGGTGACTGAGCAGATTGGACAAACGAGTGAAGTCCTTCCCACACTCAGAGCAAGAGTATGGCCTCTCCCCAGTGTGAATTCGTTGGTGTACAGTGAGATCATATGATTGCTTGAAGCCTGTCCCACAGTGAGAGCACCGGAATGGTCTCTCCTCAGTGTGACCCCGCTGGTGTTTAAGTAGGTCAGATGACCGGGTAAAACCTTTCCCACACTCTGAGCAGATGAATGGCCTCTCCCCAGTGTGAATTCGCTGATGTACAGTGAGCTGGGATGGTAACCTGAACCCATTTCCACAGTGAGAGCACCTGAATGGTCTCTCTACAGTGTGAGCACGTTGGTGAGACACCAAGTCTTTGGAAGATTTATAGCACTTCCCACAATCTGGACATTTAAATGGTTTGTCCCCGGTGTGAACCCGTTGGTGGCTCAGGAGGTTAGATAACTCAGTGAATCCCTTCCCACACTGGGAGCAGATGAATGGCCTTTCCCCTGTATGACTGTGTTGATGAGATTCCAGCTCAGACAAGGAAATGAATCCCCTTCCACAATCCCCACATTTCCATGGTTCCTCCCCACTGGGAATTGTGTTTTTTCCTTCCATGTTCAAAATCCGTTGATGTTCAGGTCAAGACAAAACGTGCGACTTTGTCAGATCCTGTTGTGATGTTCCTGGGTGCAAATCTTCCTGTTTCCTATGACATTGATTTGAAAAAGACAGAAGGAGTTACAGAAAACCCACAAAAAAACACAATTAACAATTCTGAAATGGAGCTGAACGAATCTGGTAATATGTGGGACTAATGCAGGGAAAAGTGATCATGAAGCCTACTCAACTGTTACAAAAACCCATTTGGTTCACTAATGTCCTTCAGTGATTGGAACCAGCTACTCAGTTTGATCCAAAACAAGACTTTGGTCTCTGTGCGAGGAGATGGACAGGGACATTGAAGGGTGGGATTTAATATATTTACAACTTGATCAGAACTTAACAATCTCGAGCACCCAGAAAGACCAGTGTAGTAGGTTCATGTCAACAATGTCAACTCCCAATTTCACATTGTGTTGACTTGTCTGACATCTAGTCTGGATGAGGAGAAATTTAAATATTGGGAAGACAGAATGCATTAGCCCCACTACAAACTCCAATCCCTTAGAAACTCCAAACCACTCTGTTGGTAAGTGTCAGAGGCTGAACCATAATGAAGTATTTCCTTTTTACTTCAGTCATTCTCTCATTAGCCCTGAACTGCCCTGCCTGCTGTTATTTCTGACAGCTTCACAATTATAAGCATGAAACATTAGAACCTAATCTCTTCTCTCTCACTGTGGTTGAAGTTTATTTGTGGTAAAGAACAGATAAACCTTGCTTTATTCCCCCTAATGTCATTCGAGTTTCTGAAGAAGAGGTTCTGTGCAATGGAATGTCTTCAACAGTCAGTGATTCAGTAACTGGAGGATATCAAATTCAAACCATCACTAAAAGAGCCAGACCCAGGGCAAAATATTGAGCAGGCAGTAAAGAAATGTTCAGGACACTCTCAGTACTTCCTGGACAGAAACCGATGGTTCCTGTAATCTCTGGGTTCAATTATGGTCTCATTGCAGTGACGGATGTCAATGCCAGGGAGTGAAGCAGACCGAACATCAGTGTCTGCTTGAAGAATTCTCCAGTCAGAGACAGCACAGGTTAGATACACCGAGAATCTCCTTTCACATTAGCCCCATCAAACTCTCTTTGGGGAGACAGATGAAGAGTAAAGCCCGTACTGCATTATTCTCCTCTCCGTCCAGATGCGGGGAGGATGCAAGTTAGAGTAAAGTTTCCTCCACATTGTTCCCATCATACATCAAATGACTGGGTCTCTTGGCATCATAAACACAGTACAGCTCGATTTACACTCCCCAGAACAGGTGAGAAATAGAGTAGATCTCCCTGACCTGAAGGGAAACAGCAACAGGGCGAGCCACGTGAAGCCCAGAATTAATGCGAATAGATACAGGGTAAATTTCTACTGTACTGAGGGAGAAATGTCATTGGCCTGGAGATTCCTAGTCCCTCACTATCTGTATCATAGGGATAGGTCATGGGTTTACTCTGTATCTAATCCATGCCATATTTGACTCAAGTGTTTCATTCTGGCTGGTAGAATGTACTGGGATAAACCTATCATCTTCCCACCGGGACACAGATCCTGAAGAACAAGGAATGTCTCGAACATCTTAGACATTGACCTTGATTATGTTCTGAACTCTCGGCACACATCTCCCATCATCCTGCTTTGTCATGATGAAAAGGCACTCAGTCTGTCTCAACTTTTGATAAGGCACTATATGCAAGGCTGCTCATGAAATAACAGCCCATGTTGCTTGGGGGCCATGTATTAGCATGGACAGGGAATTGCCTAACCAATCAAATGCAGAGTTGGGATCATGGGGCTGTTCTCAGGATGGCAAACTGTTACTATTGGAGTGTCACACAAATCACATTGTAAATAATTGTGGCCACGTAAGTTAATGATTTGAATGGGGAAGCCAATGCACTGTACCAAATTTGTGAAAGACAAAAATAGGTGGGAAGGTACACGCTGGGGATGGCACAGAGAATCTGCAGAGGGAGTTGGGAGTCCTCATTTGGGGGTATGTTGTCCTTTATTTCAAAATGGAGTGGAAAATATTAGAGGAAAATATTGCAAAAACTAAAGTACTGGTTAGACCAAACCTTGAAAAATGAAAACACTTTCGGTCATCTTCTCGAAGGAAAGATATACTAACATGGGAGGCAGTTCAGAGAAAGTTAAATCGGTTGATCCTGGGTGTGGAGAGAATGTTTTCTAAAGAGAAGTTGAAAAGGTTGGGCCTGTACTCAGTTCAGAAGAATTAAATGCAACCTTTTTGAAACTACTAAATTCTTATATGGCTTGACAGGGTAGATGCAGCAAGATTGTTGCCCTTTGTGGGACAGTGTAGGAACAGAGGGCATAGTCACCCTAAGTCGTTACCCAGTTGGGACAAGATGAGAACACAGAACAGTACAGCTCTGGAATTGGCCCTTTGGTGTACCACATCTGTGCTGATCATGATGCTATTCTAAACAAATCCTATTTGCCTGCACTTGTTCTGGAAACCTCTATTTTCTCACACTTCATGGGTCTGACTCAATGGCTCTTGAACTTTGTGACTGCATCTGCTCCTACCACCTCCCCTGGCAGCACGTTCTAGGCACCTACTTGGTGTGTTAAAAAAAAAACCCTTTCTTCTCTTTTAAATCTCTTTTTAACATCTCTTTTAAACTTAGCCCCTCTCACCTTAAGCCTATTCCCTCTAGTATTTAACATTTCCAACCTGGGAAAAAGACTCCGACTACCTGCCCTGTCTGTGACTCTCATAATTTTATATACTTTTATCAGGTTGCCCCTCAGCGTCTACGATCGAACAAAAACAATCCAATTTTGTTCGACCTCTCATTATAGCTAATCTACTCCAATCAAGGCAATATTCTAGTAGACCTGGTTCTGAAGAAGAGGGACTGGACCCGAAACGTTAACTCTGATTTCTCTCCACAGATGCTGCCAGCCCTGCTGACTTTTTTCAGCAATTTCTGTTTTTCATTGAGTCTAGGAGTTGGGCAGTCATGTTGAGGTTGTACAGGACATTGGTGACACCTCTTCTGGACTACTATTTCTGGTTCTGCTCGCTCAGTTAAAGGAAGGATATTACTGAGCTGGACAGGGTTCAGAAGAGATTTACCAGGACGTGTTGGTATGAAAGGATTGAATTATAAAGGGAGGCTGGATAGGTTGGGACATTTTTCACTGAAGCGTAGGAGTTTGAGAGGTGCCCTTACAGAAGTTCATAAAATCATGAGGGCTAAAGATAGGTGTATTTTCCCTAGGGTAGAGATTTCAAGTCTAGGGGCACATTTCTAAGGTGAGAGGAGAGAGATTTTAATAATACATGAGACACAAATTTTTCTTTACACAGAGGGTGGCTCTCGTGTGGAACAAACTTGCTGAGGAAATGGTGGATGTGGGCACAATTACAACGTTTAAAAGACATTTGGATAGTACCTGAAAGGAAAGGTTGAGGGATATGGGCCAGGAGCAGGCAGATGAGACTGGTTTAGTTTGGGATTAATGTACTGCCTGGACTGGTTGGACCAAAGGGTCTGTTTCCATGATTTTATGTCCTGTTCTGCACACTCTCCAAAGCCTGACATCGTTCTTATAATGCAGTGACCAGAACTGCACACAGTAGTCTAAATGTAGCCCGACCAAAGTTTTCTATAGCTGCAAATGACTTGCCAACAGATATACTTAGTGCCCCAAATGCTGACGGTAAGCATGCCATATGTCTTCTTTCCCACCTTAGCCACTTGTGTTACTACTTTCAGTGAACTACGGACTTGGACCCCAAGATCCCTTTGTATATCAATGCTCCCAAGGCCATTTACAGAACACATTCCTCTTGTCTTTGACCTTGTGAAATGCAACACACTTATCTGGGTTGAACTCCATTGGCCAATCTCTGCCCACATTTCCAGCTAATCTGTATCCTGGTGCATATTTTGATATCCTTCCTCACTATTCACAACTCTACCAATTCACATGTTATTTGCAAATTTACTAGTCAGACCACCAACATTTCCATCTAAATCATGTATATCTATTACAAACAACAGAGATCCCAGCCCTAATCCTTGCAAATATCACTGGTCACAGGCCTCCAATTAGAAAAACACTCTTCCACAATTGCCATTGTCATCTACGGCCAAGCAAATTTTGTATCCAACTTGTCAACTCATCGTGGATTCCATGCGATTTGATCTTCTCAATCAGCCTACCATGCAGGACCTTGTTAAATACTTTACTGAAGTGTATATCAACAATATCCACTACTTTACCTTCAATCATCTTCGTCACTTCCTCAGAATCTCAAACAAGCTCGTGAGACAAGACCTTGCCTGCATAAAGCCATATTGACTATCATTAATAAGTCCATTCTTGTCCAAATGCAAGTAAATCATTCCCCTAACAATCTTCTTTAATAATTTCCAATCACTGATTTAATGCTCACCTGCCTATAATTTCCTGGATTATCCCTGTTGCCCTTCTTGAACAAACGATTAACATTGGATATTCTCCAGTCTTCTGGGACTTCGGCTGTGGATAAACAGGATGTAAAAATCTCGCCAATTTCCTCCCTTGCATCCTTCAGTCTCCTGGGATAGATCCCATCAGGTTCTGGGGATTTATCTACCTTAATGTTTTTCAAGGCACCCAACACTACCTTCTTAATATTGTCATGCCTTAGAGCATCAACAAATCCTTCTCTAATCTTACCATCATCCACGGCTTTTCTTATTGGTGACTATCAATGCAAAGTAATCATTAAGAACTTCACTGACTTCCTCTGGCTTCACATATAAATTTCCACCTTTGTCCTGGGGTGGACCAACCTTTTCCCTAGCTAGCCTCTTGCTCCTAGTATATGTATAAAATGTTTTGATATTCTACTTAATCCAGCTTGCCAAGGGCATTTCATTGCCTCTTCTAGCCCTCCTCATTTCTTTTTCAAGTTCTTTTCTACTTCCTTTATACCGCTCTGGTTTCATTTCTGTTTTCTAACATTACTTATGCTTCCCTGTGTTTTTTTAACTAAACTTGACAACATCTCTCATCATCCAAGGTTCTAG